ATATTATACAAATAAAGATAAAAAATAAATATCTAAATCCTGAGCCTATGAAATAAAAAGCAAGGCTCTATGGCAATTAAATCTCATTTTTTAAAATCACTTGCTCTGCTCTGTCCTCCTCAGAATGGATGCACTTGGTCTGATTTCATACCTTCACGGGCATGAGCTCTGTGGTTCCCTCTATGTAATTAGAAGATGCAGATTAAGGTGGGTAACAGTTGATGTTCTATTCTAGGTTAAGTGTTTTTTAAAGGTAATTCACTGTAGTATTTAAAAGTACAAAATGTACTTAAAGAGGGCAATGTATCTCAGTGATAAATATGGGATATATGAAAATTACATTAATTAATCCACGTTTGGAAAACTGAGGATAATTAATGAAAGAGACACATTGATATGGGAATAATCTATGTAACAGATTAGGAATGCAATAACTCTTCTTGGGTTCTGGTGAATCATAGTGTTTAGAAATTATTAGTAGTGAATTAATTTAATCATTAAAGAGAAATGAATGAAGGAAAAGAGAGAGGGTATTGGATCGATGATGACCACTGGTGGCGTATGAGTCGTGTATGATGAATACGTGTCTGGAACTCTGAGGTCCAACAGAAGAAATCTAGTCTATTCCCATTTTTTGAAGGTATCCTCTAGACATATACCAGGAATATACAAAGATCTTGTTTTTGGTCTCATAGTTCATGCACTTTCATGCTATTATTATAATTGGATCAATGAGAGAATCTATACATAAATATATAAATTGATATGAATGAGTGAAGTATTGCCCAATTATAAAAATATGTGATTATGCAAGAAATACTGTTCAGATCCTGTGAAAACACTGGGCTTCCATTGGAAGTAGATGGTACATGATTCTTGCATGTTTGGCTAAGAATGCCAGGGATAGGATAAGTCATGGACAATGTTCGGATTCTGGGTTAGTAGTAAATTTCAAAGTTACTTGTTTTCTTAATAGAAAAACAATATTTGTACCAAGTTAGTGATTACCTAAGTGCTTTACTAAATGAAAAGTGAAAAGCAACAATCACTGGAGAGAATATCTCACTTTTTTATCATCTGCTCTGCCTTGCACTCCTCAGAAGAGACACACTGGACCTGATCATGAACTCTAAGGCTGCAGTTCTGTTGCAGGAGTTTGGAGGCCAGTGTGAGTAATAATCAGAGTTCTTACCTTCATTCTGGTATTTTGCTTAAGGATATTCACTGTATTAGTAAAAAGTATGAACTATAATCAAAGAATGTGAACTGTATCCTAGTAACAATTACGGGATTAATATGAAGTATTATTTTGATTAATACATATATGAAAAACTGAGGATAGTTAATGGCAGAGATATTGTGAAATGATTCTGGTCACACACTAGGGAGCTCAAGCCCTTGTTTTATTTTTAATAGTAGAGTTTAGAATTATAATTAGTGAATTAATGAGTTAATCGATAAACAATACAGAAATGAATGAAGAGAAATTGGTCTTCTTTGGATCAATGGTAACTGTTGGTGTAGGAGTCACTCAGGATGAATGATATGTGTCTGGACCGCTGAGGTCCAACACAGAGGAAATGTGAGGTTTGTTTTTTTTTAATTGTCATCTGCTCTGATCTATACTCCTCAGAAGGAACCCACTTGAGATGATTAAAGCATCTTTCAAGGTCATGTGCTGTCCAGTTGCATCTATGTTGTTAGGAACATTGGAAAGACCAGTGTGAGTAATGTCAGTGTTTGAGCTTAGGTGGTTTGTTTAAGGGCACTCAGTGTATTATTCCAAATATTAAATATAATCAAAGAAGGCAAAATATGCCAGTGTCAAATATCATACTGATATCAAACATTAAGTTGATGAATCCATAAATGTAAACCTTGAGGTCAATTTTTGAAACAGAGTTAGTCTCTGGAAAAGATTGTAGGAAGAGATATTAAGGATATTAAGGGATCTTCTATTTATTTAGTTTTAATTTTGTGTATTTATTAATTTTGTTAAGCCATAAACAGTTGTTTATGAGGATGAAAAGAAAGAGGCCTAATCATGAGTCATTCGTGATGAATGGTGGTGGATGAATCATGGACAATGAATATTATGTGTCTGGATAACGAGGTGCAACATAATACCAAGATAGTGTATTCTGTTTATTTAATCCTATAGAAGGTGTCAGGAATATACCCAATGTAGGTATTGGGTTTATAGATTTAGATTATTATTGTTAATAGACTAATTATAGGACCATTAAAGAAATACAAATAATAAAGAAGAAAGGGCAAGGCATTGTTTAACTCTGAACATTTGTGGACAGGTATGAGCTATTATTAGTTCAATTGAAAACACTGAAACTCATTAAGGAATAAAGGGAACAAGAGTGTCATTTGAAAAAAAAAAAAGAAGAGTGTCATCTGTTTGACTAAGGATCGTATTAGCCCAGATAATTAAGAGTCAGTTTTTTGTTGTTGTTGTTGTATGTCTGTTTCAAGTCTCCTGCTGTTGATTTTGTTATGATAAAAGTATTTACATGAGGAATAATTTATAAATTCCTACATGAGTGGGCAAAAATGTGGAAATCAAGGATCAATGCGAATAAGAATTTAACATTTTTTTTAAATCATCACCTGTGCTTTGTCCTTCTCAGAATGGACACACTTGAGCTGATTCAAGCAGTACAACCTGGTGGCTTAGAGACCAGTGTGAGTAATAAGAGTCAAAGTTTTCGTCTGGGTTTTAATGATTTTTTTTTTCATGGTATTCCATGTATTTTTTTTAAAAGTGCCATATTTAATAAAGATGGTCACCTGTAGCCCAGTGACAAATATTGAAATGACATGAAACATAAAAATGTAGGATATTTATTTATTTATTTATTTAT